AAACTCAGGTGCCAATAGCCAATACCCAAAGCATCGAACGTTTGTGGAAATCTGCAAAAGAGAGAAACAAGCGCCACAGCGGCACACACAGACATATGCTTGATTTGTATACGTGTATTCATGTGGCATCAACGTGTTAAAGTAAATGGTTTTTATGTCTTCAACGCCATTCTAGACGATATTGTTCAATTTTGGCCACTACAGTAGCGGAGGACCTTTAAAGAAGTAAGTATGTTTTTTTTCAAAATAACATTTGTTTTATTGGAAGTGTGAAGTGTTTTAATGGAAATGTGAAATAATGTACAATAATTTTTGAATTAAAAGTTTTTTAGGCTAATTCAGATTGATCAGGTTTAGGGATACATTTCAGGGTTCATGTTAGGTTTAGGGATACATTTATGGTTCAGGTTAGTTTAGGGATACATTTAGGACAGTGGTTCTCAACCTTTTTAGTGCCGCAACCCTTTTATACAGTTTCTGGTGTCGTGGCGACCCCCAGCCAAACATTTTCGTTGCTTCTTCATAGCTGTAACTGTAAGGATATGTTAATGTTTTCAGATGGTCTTAGGCGACCCCTGGGAAAGGGTCCCGCGACCCCCAAAGGGTCGCAACCCACAGGTTGAGAACCGCTGATTTAGGACATAAGTTCGTGTGTCACGATAACCAAGATGGCGGCTGCGGGCTGATCTCTCTGAATTGTGTTTTATTCAAAAGAACATTTGTTTTATGGGAAGTGTGAATAATAGTAATTTTTGCGGTGAATTAAAATTGAAGCATTCACTTCTGATACCGGGTCCGATTAGCTGCAGCCAAACTTTTCATTACAATTACAGATAAGACAGTAGCCGATTTGCCGCCAAAAAAAAAAAGCAACTTTGATCTTGAATCTTGATTGATGTCATATTAATGATTATAGAACTACATTTAAAATAGAATTAAAAAATACAATAAAATTATAAACATAAACGTATACTTACTTGCTCTTAGCTGAACGTCACATTGCTTTACGTGTTTCTTCAATGCTATACGATAGTCTTCAAAATATGGCACATTTTGTCGATTGATAGTAATGGCTCTAGATGGCAAACTAACAGGAAGTATTCGTCATAACCATCACGTGACCAACCGAATATAAAGGTGACCAGCCGGGTCCGAATAGTCAATTGCTGCTATAGCCACTCCACGTTCGCTGTTTTGTTGCGTTTATTTTTTCAGGTTTAACCCTACTCTGTTTTACTCATTTTATTTTATAAAAACGAAGGTTTCTAATCATTTCATTCGTGTGACTCTGTTTGTCTAAAAAAAACGCTCACTAATTATTTTTTTACATTTTCAAAATTATTACCGATCCACTGTGAAAACGCAACATTCATTATAATAATTTATTTACTAAGGAACGAGACTTTTTCATTCATGGTTATAATAATAAAATTACTTGTTATTTAATTAAAATCCATTGGTTGAAGTTTAAGCACCAAATGGCTAAAACAACATTTATTTATCCAGTAGTCGCTGGTTTGTGTTAAATTAAAAAACGAAAAACTACTAACTATGACTATAAGTAATAAGAGCCCTTACTGAATATAAATGGTAAAGAAATCATGATTTAAAAATAGTCGATTTCCTAATTTATTTTTGTTAAGTTATTGTTTGCACAGTCGCAGCAAAGATGTGGGCTTTTGTAAAGATGTTGTCAGTTGTTCTTTTCTTTGGAATTCAAAGCAAATCTTAAATTTCTAGCATCCATATAAGAAAATTATGATGATATCGTATCATAATAATAATTACTTTATAGATCTATTTTTAATATAATGAGTTTTATTGTGTTTCAGTGTTGTTATGATTATTTATATTATTATTAATTTATTTTAAAGGAGCAAAATTAACAAAGATTCTTTCTGGTTCTTTTACCTCCCTCGGATGTTAGATATACCTCTGACTGTGTTGTACATAGATACAAAATGGCGCATGCGATTTAAAAATAATATGTGAATATAGGTGTGTTGACACCACTGACACTACTATGGAGCACCATACAGTTTTCAGTTCACCTGTTTTGCGAACTCTAAGTCTCCATAGCTTAACTGAAGGAAATGAAGCAATAAGTGAGGCAGAAGAGATTAATGAGGTAATCGAAAGAATACTATTAATTAAATTAGTATTATTAGTATTAGTATTAGTATTAGTCATTAATAATGTCATTAGTCATTAGTCAATATTAGTTAGTTTCAGTTTCAAATAACTTCAAATGTGAACTCAAATTCAACAACTTATTTATTTAATTACTAATGAAGTGTAAGACTAAGTTAACTAAGTTACTATTACTCAGGATTTTTTTAATGAAGGATGAACTATATAGGGGCAATGCAAAGTCAAAGGATGCCATGATGTAATTTGTGTGATAATTTAAGACTCAAGGATGATATATTATTTCTATAAACTACATCATCCAAATTTAGCAGATTTTTTTAACACATCCACACATTGTCCCAAAAATGTGACACCCCCCCCCCCTTTTTAGACACATGACATTGACATCATTTATGGATGCTCACTAACATAGATGCTATTTGAGCTAGTTGGGTGGTCTGGTGTTGTTTCTTTGTTGGGTTTTTTTTTTTGGGTGGGTGGGGGGCAACAGTAAATTTAAGTTTAGGCTTACTTTTTTAATAATTTTTAACAAAATTGACATTGACATCATTTATGGATGCTCACTAACATAGATGCTATTTGAGCTAGTTGGGTGGTCTGGTGTTGTTTCTTTGTTGGGTTTTTTTTTTTTGGGTGGGTGGGGAGCAACAGTAAATTTAAGTTTAGGCTTACTATTTTAATAATATTTAACAAAACAAGATATAATTTACTGTATCAATATCAGGTCACATGATTTTAAATAGCTGGCCAGCCATGAGCATGATCACAAAAATAGCTGTTTAGTTTGCTGATCGGTGTTACACCTATTGGATATCTTATGATATATTAAAATAACAAATAGGCTCACATTTTTCCCTAATCAATGTTTCTTCTGTGTTTTCTTACCTTAAGGTTAAATCTCTTCATGTGCAAGGAAATCAGGCTGCCAAAACATCTAACTTTTCAGAAGCTATCAAGTTTTACAATGATGCTCTAGAAATTGACTCTCGGGATGTGGGGATCTTACAGGCACGAGCACTGGCTTATTTACAACAAGGGAAAACAGTGGAGGCATTAGCTGATGCCAAGGCCATATTGATAATTGATCCCAACAGTTTACAGGTTTGTTTATTTCTAAAATCATTAATCCTAGTTATAGTTCATTGCTTATGGTGTATTGTTTGAAACTACAGCCAGTCGCAATTAGAGATTAACACAGGGCTGGCACTAGGGGGTGGGGGGAGGATTGCGAGGTCTTGGGAAAGTGAAATTTTGTGAGACCTTTTGCGTTATATCTGTCAATCTGTTATTAAGATGTAAGAAATGGTATAGTTTCTTTGCATTTGTTCACTTGTTTATTTTCTGAAATGTCTATAAAAAATTACTGTAACAGTTGAATTGCCCTGAGCTGAATTACTCATCATGGCTCGGTTGCTGCTAATCTCAAAAACAAATTCAGAAAAACACAAAGTTGAATGAGCTATCTATATTGTCTTAAAAAGAAACTGCCCAATGGAGAAAACAATTCAGACAGTAATTGGGCTGGTATTTTAACAGACAAAATGAAGTTATTTTTCAACAAGGGTCTTAACAATGTCTAATTCAAGTGACAACAATAACAATCCATTCAATCAAAGCAAAGACAATGATGATCTCAAGAAAGTTTTTATCAACTTTAATTTTGAAAATCTTCATTCTGCACTTGTTAAAGAAAGAAAATTGCAAATCCTACAAAGTTGGTTTCATAACAGATTTAAGTTAAATGCAAGTTTCGAGTGCCACCATACCAGGTGGCAACCAGAGCAGCTTTTCACAAGAAGAGGTTTTCACCAAACCAGATTTTTGTGTCTCAAACTTAGGATGACAATATGTGTTTTCTGCACCAGTGGACACCACCAACTTTAGTGCTGCTGATACTGATGATGTAAATAGCTTTTGGGGAAAAGGAGTTATCAATTTTTTTTTAAATCTGGTTTTGTGCTGGTTATCATTTTATACAATGCATTCCTAACTTTTAGCACAGGAATGTTTGATTGACATATCACAGAAAGCAGCAATTGAAAGTTTCTCTATTTTTAGAACTGATGACTCTCTTTCCTGTTCTATTTTGATAGCACAGTTTGCTTGCAGCACTTGACCCCTCTATTAACACCGCAAATTAAGTGCTGTTGAACATATATTTATTACCAGTGATTAGACTGATCATGGGATCTGCCTCAATGCAAACTTGTCCATTGATATCATTTATACCACAGAATGCACATTTGCATATGCAAAGACAAAGGAACATTGTATTTCATTATCAGCGACAATCTTTTATTTATGGAAATGACCTTTTTTTTTTCCTATTCCTCCAATTAGCTAACCTTAATCCAGCATGGGTTATGGTCAAATAAATATACAAAACAAGTTTTAGCAAGTACCTAATTTGATAAGCCTCAATTATGCCTATGTTTATTATTAAAAATTACTTTGATATTAAATAAATGATAATTAAAAATTCTTGATGTTGCTTTTAAAAAAATGTTCTTTGAAAAATGAAGAACTGATTATCATTTTCAAAAACGATGATTGGAAAACTGATCATTGCGTCACATTTTTAATCACAAGTCATTTTAAAAATAAGAGAAAGTGTTTGCTTACAATCTTCTAGTAATATTTTAATCTATTTTTGTAATCTCTAAGCTTTATTAAGTCTGCAGTAAAAACATGGGCCTCTAATCCTTTGAGGTACAAAAAAAAATAATAAAAATAATTGAAAATGTTCAGTTTGAGAGAACCACTGGAAATTGGCAAATAATTTACCTTAACAATTTTTTTTTAAAATCTCCACCATAAGATCTTATAATTAAATGGCTCAAATTTTTCACAGGGATTTCTCCTCAAAGGTGTCACTTACCAAAGAATGAACATGTTTAAGGCTTCATTAGATGCTCTGCTCTCAGCACTGGAAGTGGATTCTAATAATACAAGCAAAACTTCAAACTATATTGTTGGGACTGTGGCTAAAATGTGCCAGTTGTCAGAGGAAAAGGCACAAACTTTAAAATGTATTTTTTTTTCTAATATAATTTTTTTATTTTCTTGAGATGCTTCCATTATATAAAGGAAGAAAACTTATAGTTAATTAATTATTTTTCAAACTCATTCCTACAACTACAGAAAATCCATTACAATTAATTATATAAAAATATTAAAAATTAAAATAAAATGGTACTGATATTATTTGTGTGCCTTTTACTGGGTACTTAAATGTCTAGCTTAATTAATTAAAATTGTGGTTCTATTTTTAAAAATCATATTCATACCTTACCTATCCACTATGTATTTCAGATATGGAAACATATGAGAAATTGAGTGAACTTGGAGTACTGCTGTTTCAAAATAAAAAGTATGAAGCTTGCATCTCTGTTCTGGAAGCTGCTAGAAAATTCCAGACTAATCAGAAGGGAATCACTCTGCGGATTCTCTTAACACAAGCTAACGCTCATTCACAACTGCTGCACATACCCATAGCCATTGGCCTGTACCAGGAATGTTATGGAATGGCTGTGGCTAATCATGAACAGGTCTGTACATTATCTTCATCTGCAGCAAGCAAAGAGTCCTGTGTTTAAATAAGGCTTTGGTGGCTATTTATTCTGGCTACAGCCAAAATATTGTGCAAATATCCTTGTCATATAAAATACATATATATTATAATTTGACAGATATAAAGTTAGTTTAGCATCACTAAAGAATTTTTTTTTAAAACGTGTTAATGATTAAGTAATTTAGTGATAGAAATATTGAAAGTGATATGTTTTAATAAACTGCTAGAGGAAATTAGGGGAGGTCAGTCAAAGGAAGTTTAGGTGGGCAGGAAAGACCAATGTTTTTTATGGGTATTCCCCACTAAATTAAAAGATTTAGTTAATTTCCCTGTTGATCTGTGATTTAATTTGAATTATTTTCTACTGGAAATATGTCACCTTACCAAGACCTAAGGTAAGATTGAGTTGAGCTTTTTCATCTTTGAGAGGGTTTAATCTTTTTTTTAATAGAGGAAAAGCAATATCTTCCCTCGTCTTTGAGTTCATCCGACTCACAAGGTCTAGATGTTTTCCTAGAGTAGCTTACCTCTTAAGATTCTAACTACATTTCTTACTGGTTGTGGCTACTAAAGAATATGTATTTTAAAGTCAGATTGCTTTTTTTTTTTTGACACACAATGCATAAGTCTGAAACTCGAGTAAATATCATTGCTAAAGATATATAAATTGGTAATTTATTAATAGTATTCTTTTTGATGGTGTTTAAAAAGCTAATAATCATTTTTGATTCTTCAAATAATACTTACTAAAATATTCCTTAAAAAATTAAATAATAAATATTGCTTCCCTAGGAAAATAATTATAAAATCTATTGACATTATACTTGCAGGAATATCAAACTAAAGCTCTGGTCAATATTGCAACACTGCAGCTGGAGAATGGAGACACCCACCTAGCTATTATTTTCTATGAAAAGCTCCTGCACTTGGAAACTGAAATTTTAAAAGAAGCTGGACCTGATGGGGATCTGCCTGATTACTGGACAAAAGAGCTGCAGTGTGGCCTGCATCTTAATTTGAGCATTGCCTACAAAAACATTGGCAATATAACTTGTGCAATGATTCATTCAAAGAAGTTAGTTTTTTCATGTCTATAATTTTAACAAGCAAATTATTATTAATTTTTTAAAATAAATAAAACTCTTATTTTATAATCTTATGAATATAAAAAAGGTGTTCTAAAAGGTTAGTGAAAATATAATATTTTGAAGTCTAAACTTACATAATGAACCTTATTTCATAAATGTAAAATAAAATTTATTGGCTTGAAAAGCTTTCATATACCAGTATTCAAAACAATATGTCATCTCTGTTTAACTGAATTAATATGCAATTGGTATCTGTTCAAATCTGTATTTGTTTTCGGAAAAAATATTTGTTTCTGTAAAATCAATTACAATTTAAATTTAGAAACCAATTATTGAACTTCATTTAACTCGGCTCAAGAATACTAAGACATTTAGCTTCAGTGTAGTATGTGACAATACAATTTTTTTAAATATTAAAAACTCAATTCAGATATAGGGCACTGGCACTTAAGTATGGGCTCAATGTTAAGTTGATGGCCGATTCACATCGCAACACTGGACTGCTTAACGAGATCTTAGGTCAGTTTTTAAGTTATGGTGTTACAGTGGTAATTACCAGTCAGGGGTTTTGGTGGAGGTGGATTCTAGCGGAAATATCTAAAATTTGGGGGGGAAAGCACTTTCATGCTTTTTTTTTTTTTAATCATTAGTATAACTGGGTTACATAAGCAACACAAATACCGGTGTAGGTTTTTTGTTTTTTGAGGATTATATTGGACTTTAAAGTTTTACTAATACAGTAAGATGTCAATAGTTCAGATGCCAAAAATTCAGAGCGTTGCATATCTAGATTGGCTAATCAGAAAAAAGCTGCAGAGTAGAATGTAAATGTGATGCATTGGCATCTCTAAACATGACTTAGAAAAATAACCAACAAAAACATGTGTATGGGCTTTTAAAAAGTGATCTAAATATTTATATAACCAAATTATATACAGTTTTGTACAGCTGGTAATGTCGATGATCAGGGAGGAGTAAAACCACTATTGGTCCAGATTATTATCATCTTACTGTAGTTAACAAATGCAAGAAGGTTAGCCCTACTGCAACATTTACAACTCATTGAAATGGTATTGTCTCTTTATCTGACTGTGGGATTACTTTATCTTTAAGGGAAGTACAATGAAGCCCTACTATGCTACAATGATTTCTTGACTGTGTGCAAAACTTCTGGTGATGAGAGAAATGTAGGACACGCATATGGGTAAATCTTATGTCATGAGTTGTCTCATTTGTGTTTTTCTTAACTGAATTGCAGCCAAGCTAGTAAAAATTTACTCCACCTTGTAGAGATGCAGTATTGTTTATAACTAACTGTGATATCTTTAACACTGTTCCAAAGCTGGGTACCCTAGTGCTGAGTATACCGTTCAGGCATACCGTTATACAAATTTTAATTTACTCTGAGGTATGCTAAGAGGGTACGATCCGTCTCATTTAGCAGCCAGTCGAAGTAGCATGATACCATGAGTTGGTACAGTCTGTCTTCTTAAGCAGCCACTTGACGTAGGTGGGTGGGTGTCGAAATGTAACGTAACAAGTTAAAAAGCATCAAGATCACACGTTTATCTGACACAATTCCTTTACCATTGTTTGGTAATGTTGAGTTGAAAATTTTTATTATCTTTTAAATATCTTGCCCCCCTAGATGCCTGGCTAGTGTGTATGCATCATTAAAAGACTGGGACCAATCAATCTGTTATCATGAGCAGCACATAGAGATGGCCACTAAATGTAAGGACCGTAAGATGATGGCTGTAGCTCATGAAATGTTTGGAGACACTTTAGCACAAAAAGAAGACTATGAGTGAGTTATAATCACCTTATTCAATTAATTTTTCCTTTGGGTTACTTAATTTTTTTTAGCTGTTAAATTATTTTAGTATTTTCTTATTGTGCTTTTAAAGCAATGAAAGCTGATTTTTGCGAGTCCTGAAAACTGTGTCAGAACCCATTTTATAAATCCTTTTTACTTCCTCAGACAAGCCATTAATCATTATAATGAAGTTTTGACCCTATGTCGTAACCGTGACAACAGTGGAGATGCCACAGCCCGATGTAAGATAGCATCAACTTATAGAGGACTGGGCCAGATACAGTACAGTTTGTATTACTACAAGTAAATAGCTCTGAACCACACCATGTTTGATGTGAAGATTGCTACACTATGTCACATTAAGAAATGGCGTTAGCAGGCCGTCGAGCTTAGCGCTCTTTATGCCCTCTCCAAAGCACCCGCCCTACCATCGGTATCGGGCCACGAAGCGGCATGTTGGAGATATCTCTTTGCCAGGACAGCCATAGTGCTACACTATGAAAACCACCTAATTATAAAAAGTTTTTTTTAAATATTAATTTAATAAGCTAATTTGCAATCATTAGCTTCAAACTATAATAATAAAGAAGCATTTTTTTAAAGGACAAAATAAAGTAATTTTTATTATTATTTTTTTTGGTCAACCAGTACTGCTTGAATTGATTTAATGAGGGGTAAAACTGAACTTTTAGCATTTGTATCAAAACTTTCAAGCTTTTCATTCTCTTTAATTGTCACAATTCCTTTTCTGCTGTCAATTTGTTTTATATGATGCAGCCTTAATTTTTTTATGTCAGGAATATTCCATGTCTAGTTGACTGCTGTCTTCAAACTTTATTGGTTAATTAGCTTCTTAAATGGGATTTTCCTCATCCCCTTATTTTGCTGACAGGTCTATCCCCACCCCCCCTCCCCCGAACTTTAAATTTCCTTAGGCTGTTATGACAGTAGAAAATCAGTAATAAGAAGGATCTATTCATGAATTAAATAATTGCAATGTACCATTAGGGAAATTCTGTTTTGTTATGAATTTTTTTAAATGTCGAATCTGGTTGGGGAGCCATTAGAGAAGACAGGGGTTTGTTCCAAATGTTTAAGCATCATCGTCGTGTGTCTCAAACAGTGAGGCTCTGACACTTGCCAGACGTTTTGGCTACGGCGACATTGAGACTTTGGCTGAGTTCAACATTGCACTCATTAACAAGGATTCCACACAATACATGGACAGGGATGAGGCTCAGAAGACTTTGATGAAGCTCATCCCTTATTTTGGTTAGAAATTTTTTTGTATTGTCATTTATAGTTCTTTCAAATTTACAACTGTCTTATAAGTTATAAAAAAAAAAAATTATCTTCCTAATTTATTAAAATAACTTAGCAAATGAGCTATGCATTTTAACAAACTGGTAATATGATAACGCATCAATAAAATACAGAGAGGAAGATTTTTTTGTTCAAACTGCATATGGCAATTAGTACTCATAATTTTAAATTTCCTATGTTTAATTTGCTAATATTTAAAATAAAATGAGTAAAACAGAGTATGGTTAAACCTGAAAAATTAAACGCAACAAAACAGCGAACGTGTCAGCAGAAAGCCTTCGTCAGCGAACAAAACAACAGAAAAAACGTTATAAAAATAAGAAATAGCACTTAGCTGGTAAGTAGTATCTGTGGGCAGCAATAGAA